TTTTCAAATAATGCCACCAACCAACTGTAGTATTTATTCTTTGCAGTATTTTACAGTTAGTTCTGAAACAGTTCATTTATTATTTGCCTTTAATTTGACAACACGAATCAATCCCGACTTCATTCCAACAACAAGACAGTGTGGAAGGAAGGGAATCATAAGACTCTCTTCCCTAGGAACACACAGGCTTCCAGAGGAGAGAGGGGTGTAAAGACTATGTCTAGTACAAGGTATTTTGCTCTTGCAAAAATAAAGGTGTGTCACAGTCAGAGGTATGATGTGGCACAGGTTTATCACTTCTGCCTGGGTGGAATGTTTCTGATAAACACAGGTATTCTCATCTGTTATTGTATCCACTTGTGACAGAAATAGATGTTCACAAGACAGAGTGATCAGATTAAAAGAAACTTCAGGTTGATACCTTTTTAATGGAAACAAACGGAATCGTGGTAAAGAGCTCAGACTACCAATGCAGGTGGACTTGCACTTAAATTCCAATCCCCTGCCTTATGCCCTACCACACACACTCCCACCCATTGATGTTCTTGGTCAAACCACTTATCTTCTATGAATCTTGATTTTCTCTTCAGTAATTATGACTCTGAATTACATTGTTTAGAATTGTGCAGTAAATCCAATATCAATAAGCTTGCGATAAATGGAAGAAAATGTTATTATTGCTATTATTATTATTATATAATAATTATTAAGAGGGTTGTATTCTTAGATAAAAAAATTTGAAAATTAGTTTGAGACATATGTCCACTTTGGAAACCATTCATTCCAGCTAGGAATTGAATTCCATTTCCTGTTTTCTTTAGGGATTACATGTAACAAATTAGAAAAATGTGGCTATTCGTGTCCACCTTTCATATACATTCCAGATATAGGATTTCCTTTTTTTGGCTACTAGTATGTGAGCAGAGAGGCTCTTTGCCTCACATATAGATAATTCTTCTATGGGTCTAACACGGCAGTGCTTTTACTAACCCAAACATCTGCTTTTACGTGATTCCTAAAATTACCTTCCAGAAGCAATCTGGCTGTACCCACATTTCATAAAGACTTTTGCACTTGTTAATTAACTTCTAAGTACACTTGAGGTCTGAAGTAGATAACAAATGTTGTTCTTCCTGATTTTTGGTCTAGTTTGAGAAGTATTCTTCTTAGTAATAAATTTCATCTAAAACAGACTGAATGGATTGGAAGTTGCCCACACATTTTTTTCCCTGAAAAATTGTATTTGTCTATTTGTCGCTCCACCTACTCTACATTCACATTTGAGAGGTGCTAAATAAGTAACACATTTGAAATGTCATGCCTGTCTAATTTTATGCCTGGCAACATATATAATTTTTTTTTGTATTTTAAGGAAAGTAAACAATATGCCACATTTTAAAAATTCTGCCAAGTCTTATGTTATTGTTATACAGCACATGCAAACTTGCATTACAGCAATTTACCTATATAATTTCATAATAAAACCACATGCTTGTTATTTCTATGGAATTAGGAAGGCTGGGTACAAATAGTCACGTTTGATATTTCATAAATATAATTAATATCAGAAGGAAAATTCTGAGTTATAGCCTTCTTTTGCCATGGAATCAACAAAACTATGGAAAACAGAATTAGAATATGGGTTTGAGGGCCACAAAAGTGGTAGTGTCACTATTATTGAGACATTCAAGCCAAACATGTAGTTCGAATCAAGATAATAAAAATAAAAGCTGAACACTTAGAAAGATAAGTTCATCTTAGAGAATCATTGTGACTGTTCCCAAATGTGCACTGTTGACTTGTCCATGGTAAGTAATTTTATATAAACATAACTTCATGTTAAGCCTATCTGAAGACAGTATTTTCCATGAATGTCACTTCCTTTCTATGTACTATTGATTCTTTTGTTACTCTTTGAAGTGATCTTTCATTTTAAAATTTAGAGTCCTATTTGAGACCTATTATGCCAATTGTTTTTGCTTATTTAAGAATTATCTGGATAGATAATCAAAGGTGTTTCTCGTTATTTCCCACCCCTGACAGTTTCCTCTGCAGAACTGGACGCCATAGAATTTAAGAGTCATCCTTAATTTTTTCCCTTCTCCCCCAGAATTAGGACACACCAAGTCCTATCAGGGCTACTTCAAATAGATCCCAACCCTTCACTTCTCTCCATCCTCAACCCCCGTGCCATCATCCTCCTCACCAGACTGTTTCAGTAGCCTTTGGATGGGTCCTCCTGTCACACAATCACTTCCACTGTGCCCCAAACACTCTCCAGCTTCAGAGAACATGATCTCTTAAACACACACATACATTTAAAATACTCAATTTTCCCCATCTCCAACCCTGAGCAGGCCCAGCTTACTCCTTCCAGCCACCGTGCTCTTGGCCTGGGAGGTGCTTTCCCCACATTTTTCTGTCTCAAATGGTTCTGCTCCTTAGATTGTTCTGCTCCATCACTGACTATTATGTTACCTTCTTCATGGCATTTCACACTACTGCATTTTTAAAAAGGAATAATAGACTTTATTTTTTAGAGCAGTTTTAAGTTCACAGAAAAACTGAGTAGAAAGTAGAAAGTTCCTATATAACTCCCACTCCTCTATGTCTCTAAACAGTTCCGTCTATTATTAAGTCTTGTATTATTGAGGTGCCTTTGTTACTATCAATGAATCAATATTGATATATTAGTTTTATTATTAACCAAAGCCCCTAGTGTGGATTAGGGTTTACTCTTTGTGTTCTGTTCTATGGCTTTTGATGGGTTCATAATGTCACATATGCACCATTTTAGAACACAGAATAGTTCTGTTATTCTAAAATCCCCTATCTTCTAATTCATCCCCTCTTTCCCCAGCTTCTGGAAACCACTGATCTCTTCACTGTCTCCACAGTTCTGTCTGTTTCAAAATGTTGTATAGTTGGAATAATCCAGTATAGTTCACTATTTGACTTTTTAAAAAACTATTAATTATTGCCCATGTCTCCCTCTAGAACAAAGGCTTCAAGAGAACAGAAATCTTATCTGTCTGGTTCTTTCTTTTGCCCGCTGTGCCAAAAGGAGTTCCACAGCAGATACTCTGCAGGGATGTGCTGACTGAATAAATGGATGAATCTGCCATTCAATCCAGTAGACAACAATCACCTATATTTTGAAACATGCCTTTCTTTATGTGTTCTGATGACGTGGGAGCAGACTCATTTTTTAGATTTCTGATAACGCTGGTGATTCGCAAATGTTGGCAAAGGAAGAGTTGCCCCCTCACCCCAAGTGAGGGAGGGTGTGGCTTCTGTAGGTCCCACTGCCACAGGAGACCAATGCAGGGCTGTATCTAGTTCTGCAGATACACAGGAACTCCCTGACTTAGAAATGCAGAAGCTAAATAATGTATCTTACATGTTACCAGCTCTGCTCTGCCTGTTTCTGCCCCTTTGGTACTCAAAGACTACACCTGAACCTGCATTTCCACTTTCTTGTTTTTCTTCTTGCCTTTGCTCTTCCGAATCCTATCCATTATCCCCTGAACAATCTCCACTTTTATCACTTCCTGCCTCTTTATTTCCCCCCTCCTCCTATCCTTTTCATCTGTGAAACAGAAAAACACCCTAAGTGTAACTGACAAGAGAAACACTCTTGTTCTCAAGACAAGAAGTACAATTAGCCATGAAAAGCAAACACACTTCCTAAAACAGTAAGAAGATATCAGAGGCCTCTGCCACAATTTCTATTAAACCTCCAACCCTCTCTCATTAAAATTATTTTTTCCTGAATCTATCATTTAAGATATAAAAATTCATTTTCTTGCTCACTTCTTAAATTATTCTTTTCTTTATTGGGTCATGATTTCTAGAAATCTTTCTTAGTGCCTGACCCATAGGAGGATACCTCTGATTCATTATGATGGAAGCTTTAGGGTTTCTTGTTGCTTCTATATTTTGGACTCTAGGAAACATGCCCATATTCACTCCCTACAAGGTCTTAGTAACGATGTACTCTTCAAGTTCGGACCCACTCAGTCTTTTTGCCCAGAATGCACCCTAATCTTTCTAACACAACTCTATTTCCAGCAGGGGCAGCACAAATGAATAAAATCCAATAAAACACTTAGCAACACTGTTGGTTGTGGATAAGTAGCAGGATGCCCTTGGGGGAGGGGCATTTAACAACTAAGGAAGGATTTTTTTTTAACCGTGCAAAATTAAAAAGAACATAACACACATACACAAAAGATATTAAAACTCATTCGTAAACTTCATATTATGTTACATCATGACATTTTCAAAAGAATTAAAAAAAACTTCTTATTCTACTTGAAAGATAACTGTTAACTCATTCAATACCAGAGTTAATTTAGTGGGGTGGGTTTATTTTGGGATGTGCTTTTTGAATTAGAAATACTTTTAGAGGCTGTACATTGCTTTTTAGTGAGCTATTATAATGCATATTTTATACTTGCTTATTATTCATTCAACTAAAAAATTAGTTGGTAGGGGATGGTTAAGCCTTTGAGGTATCATTACTTCCCTTTCATGCCTGAATTTTCATAGAATGTTTCCAAGGCCCTTTAAAACTAAGGAAATCAATATTCTTTAGGGAGAAAACTCACACCAATGGCATATTTCCTTTAAAAAACAGTCCCTGAGTTCCATAAAGGTGATATAAAGGAAGAAATAAAGTAAGCCCAAAGTGTGCCCCTGAGGTTTTAATGCATTTGAGGGCATCAGAGACTTCAGTAAATCATTTTGTAGGGCTTCATTCTCCGGGGTGATCAGGTTACCAAAAAAACCCCAGTGCGCTTACAGCCTTACTATGAAGGTCAGCATCCAGAATGCCATAGGGTTTTCTTAAGCAATCACTCTGGAAAGTCCCAACCTAAGAGGACTGCAGCCTTGCTTCTGCTCCTAGTCCCTTCCACATTCAGTCCAAGGGCAATGTGCCCAACAACATTAAGCAGTGAGCTCAGTGAAAGACAAAATATACAAAGAAGCAAACTTACCATCAAACACGTTACTATAATAACAAAGATGCTGAGAAAAATGACAACAGCATAAAATCCTTCTTTGCTCCAGATTCTGTCCGCTTCATGCTGCCCTTGCAAAACATTTTTCTTTGAAAGCAAAACAGAAAGTCCGATGTTAAACGAGAGCTCGAGGAAACAGGTCGTTCTTATCAGACACTAACCGTATTTTTAGCTTTATTTCCATTCAGTGTAGTGGCACACACCTACACGCCCCCCCGCTGCCAGAGCTGCTTCTCAGACTGATCGGAGACAGCAGACAGTCATCCTTCTCTACCAGGAAATTATTTAGCCTCCTGCCCTGGAGCAAGCACACCCAACGGGGCATGCACAGGTCCCAGGCTTTGTAAGGTCCCTCACCGTCTCTCTTGGAAACTACCTGGTTCATAGGTAAGAGAGTTCTGCTCTTTCATACGCGGAGGAAATTGTTGAAGCTTTTCTTCCTGAGTGCCCTCCCACAACACCAACACCCTAGCTTACGTGCTGTGATACTGCTCTTTACTTTCAAACAAAAGTGAAACAGGTGCAAACAGAGGCTTGTGATGCATTAGTAAACACATCAACACTGTCAGGATCTTATCCTTTTTCCCCTTCCATCACAACTTTTTTTCCCCTTAAATGGAGTCCACTTTGTCAACATCTGACTAGAGAGTCATCCCAATCATATAAATTGTTCAGACATTAGATTTTATTTAAACCAATTTCAGATTTCTTTAAAGAGAAAGGTAAAACAAATCGTTTTTATTTTTAATGTTTCTGCTCACTATTTTGAGGGTGGAAGAGTGGAGGAGAAGCCTGGCTCAAATGAGTGAGTATTTAGTTCTATTTCATCTGTTCTTTAACAAAACACGTTGACTAAAATCAAGTCAAGAAAGAAGTGAAGTTTTATAACTTAGTGGCATTATAAATTTATAAACAAACTTTAACTTGAAACCAAGTGGCTGAGGACTAGGAAAAACATAAAGTCTAAATTACGTAAAATGCTTCTACTCATTCTAGTACCCACTCCTCCTGCCCCCACCTTTTTAAACCCCCTTTAGTGAAAATATATATATCTGTCCTTGGTTATTTTCTCTGATGAGATTAAGAAAGAGTTGAGTAAAACACACATCTTGTAAGTGTCTGAACATGTAAATCATTGCTAATTATTCTTTTGTGGCTCAAAAACTTTCAACATTTTAAAATCTTCCTTGAAAAGTATTTTGTGCAAGTTTTTAAATGAACTCAGGTGAGTGTTGATAGGGAGATGAGTAGTTGGAAGAGAAAAAAGATCTCTGAGCTCAATGGGGACTACAACTATTTGAAGGCAGACTTTGTTTATTGATTGAAGTCACTGAGATTCTATTTCCTTGGCTAGTAAAACATTGGTGTGCTCACTCCAGTGTGTCTACTTTCTAAGACAAAGACAGATGCATAGATACAAGGATTGATTTAGATATATTTTTAGAAATATGTAAATGGTAAATTAATGGAGATTCTAAAAATAGTTGATTGTTGCAATGTTTAAACCAAGTATACTGCTAGAAAGGAAATCTTGGGTTCAAGTGACAGTATTCCTTTTACATCTCTGATCTCAGCCAGATCATTTCTTTACTCCAGTGTCTATAAACATAGTTGGAAACTAACAGAAGATTCTTGCAGAAATTAAGTCTAAATACGGAAATTAATTTTTTTACAGGCAACTAAATAGCATCCACTGTTTGCTATAAAAACAACTAGTTAAGCCTTCAAGTAGGCAGCAAAAATTTGTCAAATTGAAGTATATACATCTGCACTTAAGTTCGTGTAAGATTCCAATGAGAAAGTGTAGTCAGGTGGGCGGAAAGAGATATTGTGTTCCTAATCTGGTTGGGTTGATTTCTTTCTTTCTTTTTTTTCCCCTGCTGTAGTTGTATGACTTCTGGAAAATCAACACGTTCCTTTCTGCTTAAGACAAACATGTTTTGCTTTCTTTTTTCGCTGAAGCAGTGAGGATGGAAGAATTAACCTCCCACCCTCCCATCCCCCATCCCCAGTTAGAAAGACACATGTTTTGAACTAGAACTTAGTCACTGCATTTTCTTGGTAAATAGATTTCCTTCTGAGTCATGCTACTCCTGCTGAGCACTACTATATTTGTACAGAGATCTAAAAAACTTGATAAGGGCAGGGTAATAAATGGAAAAGTTTGTAGTCAAGATCTCATAAAACAAAAGATGATCATTCACAGGAGTCTCAGATCTGACCTTTGCAGAGGGTTAACCTGATGTCTTTTATATTTTCTCAGAGGACTAAGGGGCCAATAATTCAAGCTTTGTGACCAGGTCAACTTCATGCCACCTTGTCATCTTGATGTGTTATTTCACAGCTACATTACTCTGCCCTTCAACCCAGTTGCTGTGAAAGTAACTGATGGGTTTGTTTTATTATTTAAAAATTTGGGAGTTTCCTATATTTATAACAAATAATTTTTATATCCTGTTTAATAGTTTGATGAACTACTAATTTGGTGAACTAAGGCTCACTCTCTCCCTTCCTTCCTCCCTCTTGCTCCCTCCCTTTCTTCCTTGCTTCCTCCCTTTTTTCTCTTCCTCCCTCCCTCCCTCCCTCCCTCTATCTCTCTCTCTCTTTCCTTTCTTTCTTTCTTTCTTTCGTTCTTTCTCTTTCTCTCTCTCTGTCTCTTTCTTTTCTGATCCCCAGTGCCTGGGGAGATGATACAGAGTTTCACATCTCTTTAGGAGACTTGATGCCACAGAATAAGAATGTAGTAGAAATGCTATAAATTAAATTGGCTGGTCAACTTGATTAGTTTAGGCAGATATATGAAATATATACTGTCAGTATGGTTTTGTTGGAGAAATGCCAAGTTTCCATAGTATGGGTATATGGGGGAGGCACACTATCAATATTAACATGGATTAGATCCTTCTGACTAAGTGTTCACCCTATGCATAATAAAAGAATACTTCAAAAAGCTCAGGGAAATGGAACTCAAGAATAATTTTATTTTGCTGGAAAAAAATTTGAAACCCATGCATATGTGAGAGTCTTCAAAAATGTAGTAAGTGAAAAGTGGATAGTATAGAAAAACTAGGCATGGGTTTCAAAATTTTTTGCACCTAATAATCTTATTTTTAATTCTATCTTTTCCATGAACTTTTTCAAGTCCCATCACATATTCTGTGTGCAGCTAGGTCTATAATTTTTTACACTGTTGGCTATAAATTATGGCTTGTAGTTACATGTTATGGTTTTTTTTTTTTTTGTAAAGAATTCATGAATGCATCAATCAACATATTGGCCTGTTATTTAAGGAAGGTAATTTCCTCCTTTGAAATATAAGACTTGTGAAACTGGAGCAATTTGCAAATGAGCAAAAACAAAAGTTCCTAAATCACTGTTTTCAATATAAATGCAGAACTTATTGTTTTGATATTTTAATTCATCTTGTGAAAACACTGGTAAACAGAAACTGAAATAATTCTATTTTGCGGAGATTTGACTTATTAGGCAAGAGAGGTCTAGTTTTATCTTTATGAGCATCATAATAGAATAACAGTTGAGTGCTTACAGTGTTCTAGGCACCACATAAAAATTTAAAAGATAGTATTTTTTTCTCTGTTAAAAAAACTTAGATTAGAAACATGAATAAACAAAAATAATTCCCTTTTTGATATTTTTCTTTGCTTCCCAAGTCATTTCCAATAAAAAATCAATCATATAAAGAAACAGCAACAACAAAAACATATCCTTCCCTGAAAGTAGTTAACATGAGTATAGGAATGGAATCTTTGAGATCTTGTTTACAGTGTTTAGTAACCCATATAAAGGATGAAAGACCAAAAGATCAATGTTTCTTTTTTTTCTGTTTAGGAACATGTTACCATAGCAAGCTGTGATTTTAGGGTGAAAATGTGGAAGGTTGAGTTAAGGCATAAGCTATTGGAACTATTCACCACAAAATGATGAATAAAGTGTGGGGAACTTTACAGAATACCATTAACCAGCTTTGGACAACTATCAGCAAATGCTTCCTCTAGGCTGTAGCCGTTCCACACAGCTCTCCATTGGATGCTTGCTCACTGCAGAGGGCTTTCTCTTAGTTCTACATTTAGTGCTTCAAGTCAGTTACCTGGCCTCTTCTAGGGGTGACTAACCAAAGGTTCAAACATTCCATTGGCCCTGATGAAATGCTCCTTATATTTAGTTCAGATACTTCCTGTTCTCCCACAATGTGTATTTCCCAGATTCTAGATTTCCTAGATTCAACAGGCATCTGGGAAAATATCACATGTTGATCATCAAATATACTGTGCAAGTCTTGGACTGACAGCTCTGTGATAGGTGGTCAATGTAAACCACTCATCTTCACTGGGCTGGAGTGTGTTAGAAGACCCCCAAGTATTTGATTAAAGTACATCTTTTTTATTTACCTAGATGGTGATTTTCCCTTGGTTTCCAAATCTGGGTGACTTAATAATAAATTGCCATAATACCAAGCCTTCAGAAAGACATTTAAACTCGGGATAAAACAGCATGGAGAAGTGCTTACATTATTCTCTAAGAGCTTATAGAATGAGAATAACCCAATGGTCTTTTTAAAATGTAAAAAGGATCATACTAGGCAGTTATGTGCTAGTCAGTCTGTAAGGGGCCTAGATTGTGGAATGGACTCTGGCTTGGTACAAAAAGAGCCATTTCAGATTCAGATGCAGTCGGGCTAGGAGGAACCTGGGAGTTTAAGTTCATATTGGCCGTCTTCCTTGATTTCTCTGAAACACAGGTGGCTCCTTCTAGGCTCCCACGGCCTACTGTGGTAACTTTAGTATGACCCTGGATTCTTATAATCTGTTTCTATCTATTTGCTCTATGAGTGTATAAATTCAGTGAGATCAAGAATCATGATTTATTTATCTGCTAACTTATTGTGATTATTTGTGTATTCAGATTCTGCCCAGAGCAGAGCTTGGCTATGTGATGACTCAGGTTTTCACTGTGTGCCCATAACGTGCCAGGTATTACATGAAAGCCTTGAGGTCACACAGAGAGAATGGCATCGCCATGTGCTCTCAAGGCATCCGCAGTATAGAGATGGACGTGAAGATCCACATGGAACAATGGGAAGACAAAACAGTGAGTACTCTCTTCAACAGAGACACAGGGGAAGGCTCAGTCATGCAGTCGATTGATAATGAAGAAGGAAAGGTGTGCAGAAGGATTAGCATTCCCCAAAGCAGGGAGTATGGGAGTATCATGGTATGAAATTTAGAAGTGCTGGAACATAAACTAGGAAAGTGTCGTTCAGCATCATGGAATCCAGCACATGAAGGATGCATCATCTGAACCAACCAAGTTACTCTATGGTATTTTGGAAGCCAATTAATAATGAAATTACAAGGGCTTGGCCAGATTGATGTTAGAAATGACAACACTGGTGGCAAGAAAGAAAACACTCTGGGTATGTGGGCAGAGGGAGGGAGGGAAGGGCATAACACTTAGTGTAAGCCCTGTTAAGAGTGGCTGGGACAGTTACGGTTCAAAGATGAAATACAAGTGAGTGTAGTTTCGTTCTGCCAATCCATGCTGCTTCAAATTGTATCTGTTCAGCATCTATGTAAGGGTTTTCACACACATTTTAAAAATCTAATCCATATTTGAAGTTGGTAAGATAAAGACTACACACATATTGGAATAAAGAAACTGAGACTCATGCAAGTTGACACAATACAAAGGGAGAAAAACTCCTAGAGACTTAAATGGCCTGCCTAAAGTCATAAGATCCTGAGTATGTACATCCTTCGATATTCAGAATCAGCTTGCACCCAAACTTTTTATACTACACCTGTGATGATGGCTGAAATGACGGGCAGTGTAATTTACTGAAAGGGGTCAGAGAAGGGATCCAGCTATCTAGATTTTAAGTGTGTCTTTACACTCACTTTTTTCTGGTCACCTTGAAAGAGTCATTTACTTTTGGTGGGCCTTACTTTCTGTACCTATGCCATGTTCCCACAGGCTCCTCAAGGTCTAATTCCATGAATTATATACGCTGAGGACAAAGACCGTGGAGGGAAGTCTGAGTTGAATGGAGTTCGGGAAATGGACACTGAGGAGTGGAATGACAGGAGTGCTAGGCACAATTTTAAAATTGCTGAATTTAGAAAAATGAAGACAACCTCTGTTGTTCTTGAGACTGGCTTCTTTGGCACAGGGAAAAAGAGTCACGCTTCAAATGCCCAAATTGTGGGGCAACTGATGGCCATTCTGACAGTGAGAGCTGTAAAGGGGGTTACACCTGTCCCAGAACAAACACCAGAGAGGTGGTTGTTCGACACATCAGTTTCAAACCACATTTCAGTGACCTTTTTTCTGGACTATTTGCTGGGCAAGTTTTCATAATTTACAAGCCCATAAAGATTTTCAGAAGAAAGTATCCAAAAATGAAGCTTCAATGTGAAAATGAAATTTTCTTAGAGGATAGAACATAAACAGTGAAGATCAGAAAATTCTGATCCCTAGGGTTTTTTTTTTCTTGTATTTTTTTTTTCAAATCAAATAATGTACAATAAACAGTTTTCATCTCAAATGTATAATTTTGGACATGCTCAGGCTGACTTGCCCCAAGTGGTGGAGTTGGAAGCATACCAGGGGATTCCAATTCAATCCCATCGAGGTGGCATGTACCAATGCCATCTCACTGTTCCAGGTGATCAGTTTCAGTTCACAGTTGGTCATGGTGAAGGGACTGGGAGTCAAAGGGAGCACATAGACAAGTCTAGTACCTGCTAACGCTAACTGATGGAGTAAATAAAGGGGAGAGTGATCCAACATGGGAAGTGAGATACTCAGCAGACTCATAGAATGGCAGATGTCCTAAATAGCACTCTGGCCTCAGAATCAGCCCTAAAGGCATTCGGAGCTGGCTGAAGAGCTCATGAGAGTATTTCAGGCATGGAAAGCCAAGACACTCTGGCAAAAGATCTCTGCGAATGAGATCCCAGTGGAAAGAACAGGTCTTCAAAGAAGGAGGTACCTTTCTCTGAAGGGAGGAGAGAACCTCCACTTTGACTATGACCTTGTCTAAACAAGATAAGAGTCGGAGAACTCAGAGGGCTTCCATAGCCTTGGAAACTCATGACTGGAGCATAGGGAGATTACTGATGCCATAGACAGGAGTGTCAATTTGTAAAATCAACAACAGGAGTCACTGTGCACTTACTCCTCATGTAGGATCTCTATCCTTAATGTGCTGTATATTGAGATTTAATGCTATAACGAGTACTCAAACAATATATTTCACTTTGTGTTTCTATGGGGGTGCAAACTGTTGAAATCCTTACTTAATGCATACTAAACTGATCCTCTGTAAAAAAAAAAAAAAAAAAAAAAAAAGAAATTATCAATTCCCAACTTGACTCTCACTGGGATTAAACATGACAATAGGTCTGCTCTGATTTCATCATCATCTAAAAAAAATCATCTATTATTTTTCACTTTATGTTTCTGTGTGGGAGCAAACTGTTGAAATCCTTACTTAATGTATACTAAGCTGATCTTCTGTATATTAAGATAATCGAAAATGAATCTTGATGTGAATGGAAGGGGAGAGGGAGTGGGAAAGGGGAGGGTTGTGGGTGGGAGGGACGGTATGGGGGGGAAGCCATTGTAATCCATAAGTCGTACTTTGGAAAATTATATGCATTAAATAGAAGTTTAAAAGTTTAAAAAAAAAAAAAAAACCTCTTGGGGGTGGATTATCACATTATGCTAATTGTGCAGAGTTTGAAATGAAATACTTCCTGTGACAACGCACCTCAGGGGAGACTTCTATAACTCCAAACTGGGATAAACTCTGGTGCAGAACATCGATATTAAGTGAACGCAGCACTTCCTCAGATGGCAGAGTATCGGAAATTCCTGTTTTTCGGTTTAAGGGAGACACAAAGAGTTCAACACGGTTCTTCTTTTCCTGGTAAAAGGGAAAAGATGATCTGTAACTGTTGCACACATTTTAAACAATTTTGGGTAATGTTTCTACCTTTCAATTAGAAACTTTTTTTTTATCTTTTTTAAAATTTAAAAAAAAATTTTTTAAATTTTTTGACAGGCAGAGTTAGACAGTGAGAGAGAGATAGAGAGAAAGGTCTTCCTTTTTCCGTTGGTTCACCCCCCAAGTGGCCGCTATAGCTGGCGCATTGCAGCCTGTGTGCTGGGCAGATCTGAAGCCAGGAGCCAGGCACTTTCTCCTGATCTCCCACGAGGTGCAGGGCTCAAGCACTTGGACCATCCTCTACTGCACTCCCGGGCCACAGCAGAGAGCTGGACCGGAAGAGGAGCAACTGGGAGAGAATCCAGTGCCCCGACTGGGACTAGAACCCGGGGTGTGGGTGCTGCAGGCAGAGGATTAGCCTAGTGAGCCATGGTGCCAGCCAGAAACATTTATTTTTAAACAAAAGTGAAAATATTTTCATTGTTTTTTCCCCCTGCCAACTTAACAAACTCTATACATCTAGATAGGACCCTGGCTTATGTAATATGACATGTACTTGTATTTACACATATAGCATATATGAAAAAATGGGTTTCCTAAAAACAGCAGAAATTTTCTATGAATATATAAATGAAGAGAAAATACACTTTGCTGCATTGCAACAATCAGCAGCTTTGCACACTTAACTATAGCTATGTAATTCTCAGCTCTGCTATGCAAGCTCTTATTCAACCTCTGTCCTTCTTTTTTTACATCTTTTAATTTTGGGAGGATAACACATTTTTAATATCCATTATATTCAAAGGCTTAATGACTCTATTTTTTTTTTTTTTGACAGGCAGAGTGGACAGTGAGAGAGAGAGACAGAGAGAAAGGTCTTCCTTTTGCTGTTGGTTCACCCTCCCTCCAATGGCCACCGTGGCTGGCGCGCTGCGGCTGGTGCATCGCGCTGATCTGATGGCAGGAGCCAGGTGCTTCTCCTGGTCTCCCATGGGGTGCAGGGCCCAAGTACTTGGGCCATTCTCCACTGCACTCCCAGGCCACAGCAGAGAGCTGGCATGGAAGAGGGGCAACCGGGACAGAATCCGGCGCCCCGTCCGGGACTGGAACCCAGGGTGCCGGTGCAGCAGGTGCAGGATTAGCCTAGTGAGCCGCAGCGCCGACCTTAATGGCTCTATTAAATGAAGAGTTCAACAAATAAAAAATGAAAAAAGACCAAGGTTCAGCAGGAAACTAGGAATAAAACAATAATCAAAAGCAAAGATGAATTAAAGACTATTTCTACAAAGAGAAAAATCACTTGATATGAATCTGCTTTTTTGCTTTGCTTGCGCTCACATCCATGTGTAGATAAGAGCATACGGTTAAATGACAACCAGCTTCCCAAGCCCAGAAGACAAGAGGCAGAAATGGCCACTGGTAACTGACAAGTCTACAGTAGACCCTACACAACAGATGTTGGTGTTTACTTTATCCTCACCTCAGGTACCCATCCAAGTCATCTTTGGCTTTCTGGATTAATAATTCTTGCATCCCTCCTAGGCTGCTGTCTTCAAGAGTTAATTCATATTTATTCTTTACATTCAAAATCCCCTGTGCATTCAGTGTCTCTCATTCTACTGATTTACTTGAAGGTCTTTAACAGATATTGTCTGGAAATAGTACTTTACCTGTTATAGAAGGTTTTGCTCCTGTGGAGAATATTTTGGGGATAGTATTGGGTTGGTAAGGCAGGTATTTTGGGTCTCTTTATTCATATAGCTAGCCTGGAATTATGACATAGTTGGCAAACTTTTTCTGTAAATGGCAAGAGAGTTAATATTCCAGGCATTATGGGTCAATCTGCAGCAACTACTCAACTCAGTCATTAAGCATGAAAGCAGATATAGGCAAAATATAAAGAAGTGGATGTGGATTGCTCCAATAAAACTTTATCTGCTAAAACAGCTGATATGCCAGATTTGGGTCAGGAGGCGCAGAAGGATGATAGCATGAGCCCCTCAATGATAAGCTTGAATTCTGGGAATGTGAAATGTAGGCATCTTACAATGAGGCGGTTGATGTGCACTTGCTGGGGTAAGAGTCCTAAAGCTGCAGCCACTCCTTGACGGAATATCCGAAGCAAGGTTATATTCAGCTTGTTGACATCCATTTGCAGTGTCTGGAACATAAAGACAAAGAGATATCCAATTATAGTGAATCTCTGGTTTAGGGCATTCATTTCTTTTTCTTTTCTTTTTTTTTTTTCTTTTTCTTTTTTTTTTTTTTTTTTTTTTGACAGGCAGAGTGGACAGTGAGAGAGAGAGACAGAGAGAAAGGTCTTCCTTTGCCGTTGATTCACCCTCCAATGGCCGCCACGCTGGCGCACTGTGCTGATCCAAAGGCAGGAGCCAGGTGCTTCTCCTGGTCTCCCATGGGGTGCAGGGCCCAAGCACTTGGGCCATCCTCCACTGCACTCCCTGGCCACAGCAGAGAGCTGGCCTGGAAGAGGGGCAACCGGGACAGAATCTGGTGCCCGGACCAGGACTAGAACCTGGTTTGCCGGCGCCGCAAGGCGGAGGATTAGCCTAGTGAGCCACGGCGCCAGCCCATGGGCATTCATTTCTTAACTGATGACTGACCAGAACAATTTCAGTGAGTCTGATAAATTTACACTCATGATGCTTTATTGCACTTTTGATGGAAATCAAATTATAGGGATATTTTAAGTGGTGCTAGTTAAAAAGAAATAAAAGACATTTTATGTAAAATTTTAAATGTGGTACTAGTTAAAAAGATGGTGTGTTATATAATGGAATTTTTCTAGTTATAATAAAAATGCAAATAGATGGTTAATATATAAAGATTTTCATTGAAATGTGTCTTGATTTATTTGGCTTTAGTTCAGGTCCAGATGACAGCATGAAATACGAAACCAAGTGTTAGGGCCCTCACTGTGGCTTTTCAGGTAAAGCTGCTGCCTGCAGTGCTGGGATCTCATGTGGGCCTCAGTTTGAGTGCTGGCTCCTTCACTTCCTTTCCAGCTCTCTGCCATGCCTGGGAAAGCAGTGGAGGTCCCTGCACCCATGTGAAGTCCCAGAAGAAGCTCCTGGCTCCTGGCTTCAGATCAGCACAGCTCCCGCCATTGCAGCCATCTGGGGAGTGGGCCAGCATATGGAAGAACTCTCTCTCTCTCTCTCTCTGCCTCTCCGTAGCTGCACCTTTCAAATAAATAAATTAATTAATTAAAAAAATTCCCTAAGACCTTACTTAGCAGTTTCTCTTTGTAGTGATCTACTACTAGTACAGGGCAAAAAATGAGGGGTAATAATACGTTTTTAAACCTTGGTAAAAAAGCAAGTGATGTTGATGATTTGGGCAATGGTAAATGATTCTTATTCAACTTTTTGGACAAACACTCAATTTCAGATCTGCTTTGGAAAAAAGACTAAATATTTGAAAATTCCTAAAATATGCATCAAATTATTGCATTAACAATAGTCTTCATTTAAGCTTTGAGTGCTATTGCTACACTTTTTTTTTCTTAATTTTCTTTAAAGTACACAAATTTCATGCCTTTGATACATACAGATTTAGTCACTGTTACTACACTTAAACAATGAAGTAATTTGTAATGCATTTTCTTTTCTTTTTAAAAATTATTTATTTATTTGAGAGACAGGGAGCACTCCCATTCATTAGTTTACGCCACAAATGACCCCATGGTTGGTACTGAGTTGGGCCTAAGCCAGGAGCTAGGAAGTCATTCCAGGTCTCCCACATCGGTGGCAGGAACTCATTCACTTGAACCTTCACCTGCTGTCTTCCCAGGGTATGCATTAGCAGGAAGCTGCAATCATGAGCCTGAGCTGGGCATCCAAGTTCTCTGATATAGTATGTGAGCATTTAACCGCTAGGCCAAACTCTGCCCTTGATATGTGTTTTCAAAAGTGTGTTATAATTATTTAAGATAGATACTCGCAAGGCAGGAAAATAAAATCTTTATAATGATTGTTTCACCACAGTAGGTTTTCAATAACTGTTAGATGCTGCAATATCACCTGTTCCTTGAAGCAAGGCATACTTCTGAGTATACACTTCCCTGATAAAGACAGTGGCATACAAGTGTATCTTATTACAGAATAGGAACTCTTAGAAGACTTTATCCCAGCTTGCTTTAAGTGGAGAATGATGCTGCTTTGAGAATTTATAATCTTTCTAGTAAATAATTCATCCTTTACATAGAGTTGGTACAAAATAAATGACTGGCAACTAGACCAAATGCTCAATACTACAAAAACAAGAGGGAGTTTGGGAGATAAAAAGAGCTATAATGGTTCCAAATCAAGATGGTAGGCCTAAACAGAGCTTCAGACTGTTTTTAATCTCAGGGTATTTACATTTTTTTCTAAAAAATTATTTTGTGCATTTTAAAGGCAGAAACAGGCAGACAGAAAGGGATCTTCCAGTTGCTGGTTCATTCTCCAATGCCTGCAACAGCTGTCTCTGTCTCTCCGTTGTTCTGCTGTTCAAATAAATAAAAAGAAACATATAAAACTTGAAAACAGTTGAGTTCCTTGGTTCAGTTCCCTCAGACACTGAGGAGAAGTCACTGCCACTGTCTTACCAGCAGTGTGTGTCAGGCAGAACGAGCAGGTAGGCACTGCCCCTCATCCCAGGGGCAGACTTTGGAGCAACATCTATGCTGCGAACCAAGTCAAGGAGGTTGTGTATACACTTGAGGATGCAATTCCCATGGCCATGATTAACCTGAGGCTTGTTACTGTGGAAACAGTATTAAAGTCTCAGCCTGAAATGGTAAATGGGAAGCGAAATGAGAACTCAAGATGAAAAGTCACTCAAAAAAAGGGCAAGTTTCCAAGAAGCTAAAAGCTGTGCATTTGAAACAGAAATTTCGACAACTCAACTAAAGTGAAGAAATGAGTTGAAGCAATGAATTAAAATTATCATCTGCTTCATTGCATCAAAACATTTGAATAATTTCTTAGATCTCTGCTTGCCTGTGCAAAGATGGGTTGATTCCATAGTGCGTGCATGGATTTCTAACTGTTTCCCATAAAATAGAGATTCTAAAATATAGTACAAACAGAAATAATGTATTTGATGGCCTAGTATGTGCCAGGAATTATATATAAGTGCAATTAGAGAACAAGAAAATGATTCTAGTCAAAATGAGAATCTTTCTTCAGACAAAATAAAAGTAGATGACTTCCTGTAGTTAGAAAATATTTCCTACCTCCTTCTTTCTGAATAGAAACTAGAAATTCTCTTTCGATTTTATTTTTATTTTTTATTTTTTATTTTTCACAGGCAGAGTGGACAGTGAGAGAGAGAGACAGAGAGAAAGGTCTTCCTTTGCCGTTGGTTCACCCTCCAATGGCCGCCGCGGCCGGTGCTCTGCGGCCGGCGCACCGCGCTGATCAGATGGCAGGAGCCAGGTACTTCTCCTGGTCTCCCATGGGGTGCAGGGCCCAAGGACTTGGGCCATCCTCCACTGCACTCCCAGGCCACAGCAGAGAGCTGGCCTGGAAGAGGGGCAACCGGGACAGAATCCGGCGCCCTGACCGGGACTAGAACCCGGTGTGCCGGCGCCGCAAGGCGGAGGATTAGACTAGCAAGCTGCAGCGCCGGCCGGAAATTCTCTTTCTTGTCCTATTCAGTGAGATCATAACTATGATAGAACATACACTTGCATGGCAATAACAAAGTCACAGGTGTCAAGTGGTATGGCAAGATATCTTTTAGCCTGAATTCTAAACTCGTTTGGTCATTTCTATCATTAAATATACAAATGATTTAAGATTTTAATTTTGAAGAGATTAAAATGCTCTTTCCAAATGCAGATGCAAAGCCACTTTATAGCAGTAAATAATGCAAACAGTTACTGATCAAGAACATTTAAATGTTTTTATTGATACTACAGATATATAAACATGCAGAAAAAATGTAGCACAAAATTCAAAGATTGTCAACTCTATAATTTACCTAGCTTCTGCATTCTTAACAGGTTCCTGACTATATACCCACCAACAAAACCCCTCCACAAACGAAATTACACTTTATAACAAGATTTTCCTTCTTTGGCTGCCAGATTGTCCACTGTGGTTGAAGACTATGGGCCTTAGATATAAATCAGACTGATGGGGTTTGCTAAAGTTTAGTACTTGCATTGAGGCATCAGCATTATATTTGAATTGTAAGTGTATGCTTGACTGCTATTTATTTTGAAAGAATGACTGAATTATTTCTGCCTGAGAGGGGGACTCTTGCTGTTATTATGCAGCCTGCTGTATCATTGGTCACAGGCAAAGTCAGAACCAAATTCATTGTTCATCCGTCTCTCTGGGAGATGTCCTTAAGGTCCCCCAGAGAAAGGCAGTCTCAATTCCCAACAACTACAGAAGAACTTAGTTTCTTTAAGGACATAATCATGTCAAAAGAAATTCGCCCATCTTTTTCTAACTATTGTGTGTCCTCATTGCTACCTGGAATCTATAACACAATTCTTGACCAACAAGTCTTGCCTTTTGAGGTTAGGGGTTGGACTGCTGAGTGATTTCCAAGAATAAAAGTTTCTCTGTGCCTTTAAACTGAGTAGAAACCCTTGACCTGCTGGAGGCATTTTATACTGTCACCAGTTCCTTCTTGGAACTCTGCATTTGTTCTCTATTCTTACTTACATACTAATAATTTTATTTGCATATTTCATGTTACCACCTTTCTCAAAGTCTTATATCTATTTCTCTTTACCTGAACTTCAAATTAACAATTACCCAGAATGAATTTACTTTTTCTGCCTCTCCCAATCCTCAGCCAAATGTGTTTCTTCCCATATTTTGGATAATAGGCTGAAGTACCATATTTGGGCATCATCTTGACTCCTGTTTGCTTATTTGTCTCTTTACCATCATGATATCTGTTATGGCTTGGATGTTAGTTTGGATGTCAGATATTTTCCAAAGGCCCATGTATTAATGTCATGGTTCCCAGGGAGGAATTGTGTAGAGATGTGGAACCTTTTGGGCACAGGGAATTGGAGGGGGTCCTGGAAGGCAGTCCTCATGATAGGGTGGCTACAAAAACCCGAGTTTGGGCCCTGTCTCTTTCTCTGTTATTACTGACTCACCATCTGGTTCTTCTACATGTTCTCTGACATTCACC